TGATGCCAGGCAGGGGTCCACTGTGGTGCTGGGGGGATCTTGGTGCTGGGCAGGGGGGAGGAACCCCCTACCAAAAAGTGGGTGTCCAGTGCAGTGCTGGGGCGAAGTGTGGTGCCGGGGAGCCCCAGCGCTGGGGGCCCTGGTGTGATACCAGGGAAGGGGACAGTGTGGTGCTGGACCCAGTGCTAAGGGCGGGGTCCTAGTGAGTTTGGAGCCTGGTGCAGTGCTGGGGTGTGTTGGGAGGGTGCCTGGTGCAGCGCTGGGGGGCAGTGGGGGGGGGCAGGGCACTGTCTTGGCAGAGAAACCCCCCCAGTACCAGGGGAGGGGACAGTGTGGGGCAGTGCCCCCCGGCAGCACCGCTGTGGGGCTAGGACAAACAGGACGACAGCCTTCCCCCCCCAGCCCGAGACAGCTCTGTCCTGTGCTGGGGAGCCGAGAGGTGCCAGGCAGGGAAGAGCATCATCCCCCAGTCTGGGTCTTTGTTGCCTTCTCCTGCTCAGCAAAGGGTGGTTGTGTCCCTCCTGTTCCAGCGCGGGGACCCTGTGGGAGGCCGGCAAGCAGGCAGGGCCAGCCCGTAGGAAATAAAGCCCTGTTCCTGCAGTCAAAACCTGGAAGGCACCGAGGGATCCCCTCACGGAGACTTAGATCCACTCCCAGAGACCTAGATCCCCTCCTGGATCTCTCTGTGCAGCCAAGACAGGTCCCCCCAGCCCTGCAGCGTGCTGGGCTCATGGGCAGGGTCTCAGCAGCACGTCTGTCCTGTTGCAGCCAGGTCCTGATGAAAGGAAGTCGGAGCTGCTGCCCGCCGGCTGGGAAGCCAACAAGGAGGTGTATACACTGCGCTACAAGTCCACGGACGATGCCCATGAGCTGCTGCTGAAGGCCATCATGGTGGAAGACAGTATGATCCTCAACGTCATGGTGAGCACCCAGGCTGGTCCCTGCGGGTTTGGGGTCCTTCAGGTGCACCGGCTGCTGCCACGCAAAATGTGCAAAGAACAGCAGGGCCCATTTCTTAAATTTTTGCTGTTTCTTGTTCTACCTTGCAGCGGTGTTTGTCCCTCAGGATGGGGCAGACCCAGGGGGTGTTAGGGGCTGCAGACCTGCCTGTGCGGCAGCAGATGTGGCCCAGTGTGAAGCTGGTCAAACACCAGCTGCATCAGGGCAGTGATGCGGTTTGCCTTGCACACTCTGACCCAGGAGTTGCCCCTTTTGTGTCCCCTTCCCAGCTCAGGATTTTTCTCCTGTCCCCCATAAGCACCTGCCCGGGGTGTTCTTGCTTTCACCCTTTGCAGCCTTGATTGGGAGAGCAAGCAGGGAGAGCCTCGCTGTACACTGGAGTTTGTTTGCTCCTGGGGATTCGGGCACAGCACAGGGACGTGGCAGGAAGCAGGCAAGCCCATTCCTTGTGTCCCAAGCCCCTGGCTGTGGTTGTACCTGCTCCTTCCCTCATTCCCAGCTCCGCTGGGCTGCTGACTCCGTGTTTCACCTGTCTTTTGCCAGGATCGCAGTTCTCAGAAGGTGGCAGATGTGACCTTGGCAGTGGCCGACTACATCAACCCGGAGCACCTGGACGATTTCCACAAGTAATCTCGGTTCCCCAGCATTTTCTGCAGGAGAAAATGTCCTGCCGGCATGGGGAGGGGGGCAGAGACCAGGTTAGGAGGAGCCTGGAGGACTCTTCTCCCCAGTACAAACCCTGGGGGCAGTCTAGCTAGCCCTGAAATGCAGCCAGAGCTCCCTCCTCTGCTTCCCTCTGTGCTGCTGGCAGGCGAGAGGGATTTAGGGGATGGTGGGACCCTGGGTCGGAGCCCAGGGGAGAGCCACCCCACCTGGGAACGGGCTGGGCTAGCCCAGCACTTTTATTTCCAGAGCACTGCCTGCCTGTCTGTGCTGGGCGGACACTGCCCAGTGGTGTTACAGCTTCAACCATGAACCAGACACCTTCAACCGTGGCCCAGACACTCTGTGGCTTTGCTAAAGGCCAGTGCTATGTGCTGTGGTTTCCTCCAGCGCAGAACTGGCCGGGTCATGGCCACAGCACAAGGGAGTCCCCTGGGCTGGGTGGCACCTCTGCCCTCTCAAATAGGGTCAGGGCTTTGGTGTCACTGTGTGCTGTTACCCCTTCCCGTCCCCTCCGTGCTGCCAGCTGGGGACACGTTTTGTGCCAGGGATGCTTTGGGCGTGTCTGTCCCCTCACCACCCCTCTCGCAGCCTGTCCAGCACCTTGCACCCAGGTGCTGTCACCTCCCCAGCCCACCACCTCGCCTCTCCTCCCTGCAGGGTGTACAGGAACACTGAGGAGCTGAGGACAAGGATTGCTTCGGGCATCATCACTCCCCTCGGGGCCACTGCAGAAAAGGCCAAAAAGGAGCCCGAGGCTGAGAAGAAGGATCCTGACTTGCCCCGGGATTACAACCCCCTGAGGGTCCCTCCCCGGCAGCCGGCAGGCACGAGAGCACCGTCCTGGTGAGTAAAGAGCAGGTGGCTGCTGATGGTCCTCCATTAGAAGGGACGTGGTCCTGGCACAGCTCTCCAATCTTCACCTCTGGTCCCCATCTTGCACACATGGGATGGGGAGCAAAGGGGATCCAAACCCTCCCCAGCCAGTCTCAGGCTCGTTGGCCGCATGCTTGGGTTTGATTTAAGTTGCCTGCTGAGGGATGGCCTGTTCCGGAGCTGTGTGTTGCTTTGACCCTCCTTTGGCACTGCCTAGGGGTGTAGCTGGAGACCTACAGACCCAGGAGGGAGAGGGCAGCGTGCAGGGCTGGGGGGAAGGTGAGGGGTGGAAGGAGGGAGGCCCTGCTCTATGCTGGCTGAGGGACCATCAGGGCTCCGGGGCTGGCAGAGCAGGGACAGCAGTGGGAAGGACGGTGGTGTCATGGGGCCAAGCAGCCTCCGGGAGGGACACCAGAGCGCTGGGTGTCGGATCGAGCCGTGGGCTCCAGCAGAGCTGTGGGGTCTGCTCGTGGCAGAGGGGAGAGGGCGTGTGGCGGGTGCAGAGCTCTGCCTTTGCTTGGCACAGAGCCGGGGCTGCCTCTAAGCCTCCCGCCTGCTGTGGCTGGTAGAGCTGCCCTCCCGGGACGGTGCACCCAGCCGGGGCTTGGGGCCAGGCCCAGGAGGTGCAGGCTTGGTGGAGGGGAACAGAGACCTCTTCTTGCTCTCCTGACCCCGCTTTCCCTTTGAAACTCTTTGCTGGCAAAGCTGGGGAGAGGGGACACACGGCACCCACTTCACCATCCCTCCCTGGCCCCTTCGTGCCCAGCCACCCCTCATACGTGGCAGGCGGGCTCCCCCCTCTCTCCCCCCACAAGCTGTAATCCCCTTTGACTGGAAGTCAGAGACACTGTGGTGGCTCTGCCGTCTCTTGGAGACCAGCCACAGCTTCTGCCTTGCGTGTCACCTCTTGCTTCTTTAACCCCACTGCTGTCTGCTGGTGCTCAGGGCTGCTCAGGGTGCGAGATGCTCCTCGGGGAGACCTGGGCAGACAGGCTGGAGCTGGGCACAGCTCTGAAACCATGTTATTGGTACATATTATTGGCAAGGAGATGTGACAGCTGGCTGCAGGCTCACCGCCCCACTGTCCTCACACTCCTGGAAGCGGGACTGTCATTGTGTCTCCGACTGGGACATGCTGGAGAGCCTGGCCTAGCCCGGCACCACTCAAGGAGCCCCTGGCATGGAAACTCCCAGCATCCACAGGCAGCTCCAGCCTGGAGCAGTGGGAACAGCAGGGCCCCCTTCATCTCAGCAAGCTTCCCGCAAGCCTGCCATGCACACCGGTGTCCACACCCAGCTGCACCCTGGAGCAGGGAATGCTGCGTCCTGGGCATGGGGTGGCTCCCAATGCCAGCCCACTCACGCAGGGTCCTGCAGGTCCCAGGGCCCTTTGGGTGCTGCAGTGCTTGCCGTGGGAGAGCACGCACGAGCGCAGCACCAGCAACCGCGCTGGCTGCCCTGCCCTGCCTGCTTGCTCGCTCCTGCTCGCTCTGTGCAGCCGGTCTCCCCTTCACTGAACGTCTCGCTGTGTTCTGTGTTTCAGGCCTTCCCCCTTGAGCCCCTTTGCTGTTGGTGGGGAAGACCTGGACCCTTTTGGGTGAGTATGGCTGGAAGAGGTCGTGCTTTGCCTGCCTGGGGAGCATCCCCTGCTCTGCTCTTGGGATGTGTGGGGGTGGCTGGGGAGCTTCTCTGGAACAGCTGGAGTCCGCCTGGCTCAGGCGTCCAGCGAACCGTCTCTAAGCGCAGACAGCGATGGGACAGTTGCTCAGTGCAAATTGCAAGGGACCAATTGACAGTTGCTAAACCTCAATATGGTTCTAATATCGTAATAAGATCCCATCTCTTGCATAGATGATAGGTTGCAATCTGCGTCTGTTTAATAATCAGCTTCTATTCATTTAACATGCAGTAATTCCTTCAGTAAATCAAAGCTGAATATGTCGTTAAGTGAATGTAAGCCTCTAATTTAAAATGTTACCAGCTGCTGCGTCTACAGCCCAGCAGTCTGGAGAAGGGGGGGCTTAAAGCCGAGTCCACAGATTCTCGAGTCCTGGTCGTGAGCCTCCCGGCTGTCTGAGGCACTGGAGAGAAAGCCTGGGTAGGAGGAGGGCTGTCTGGGGGACTGATCTTCACAGATACATGGTTGTCTTTGGTTTGGTCAGGCAAGGAGAACCTGTCATCTTCCATTCCAGTTAAAAGCACATAGACAAAAAACAGCCCTTGGAGTCATTGCAGAGCATCCTGTGGCCCAGGGGAGTCCTCTTTGGAACCACTCTCCTGTGGGGATCACATTTTTTCCCCTCTTGCAAGACTTGGTTCTCCGTGGGTTTGGCTAGAAAAGGGCCAGCTAAAAACGTCCTGCCCGGCTGGAGGGAGAGGCCGGGAGCCTGGGTGGCTGGAAGGAAACCTGATAGCATGAGGAGAGGAGGTTCAGTTGTGGGGGAGACCCTGTTTCTCTCGCTGCCTCCAGCCCTTCATCAGAAGTTTCTCTATAAATGACAAAAAAGATTGTAAATGGAAGCAGATTTGTGTGCTGACACCTGCCAGCGCTGGGGCTAGAGACCCAGACTCCCAGGCATATGCTCATGGGGCCTGGCTGTCCCGAGGCGCTTTGGGCAGCCGGCCTGGCGTAATGGAACTCATTAGCACAGTTGTTAATGACTTGCACGATGGCAGCAGTGTCCAGAGGCTCCAGCCGAGTTTGCACAAAGCCGACCATGAGGAATGGCACTCGCAGCGTGGGGCAGCTCCGAGGAGCCGCCGTGGTCAGCAAATGACTTCCAGGCAGCAATTTGGAAAGGTTGGCGGGAGCCCCAGCCGGGTCCGCCGAGCTCTTGCAACACTGCACAGGGCAGGACGTGCTGCTCGCCCGGGAGCGCAGAGAGCAGGGACGGGAGTACGGGCTGGCAGCGAGGGCCAGCAGGTCCGACACTTCCCCAGGGGGTGGTCAGCAGCCCACTGGGACTCACCAGCCATTGCTGATGCCCTAAATGGCTCCTTGCAGGAACCGGGGGAAGAGGGAAGCTGCCTCTCCGCTGCTCCGAGTGGTTTTTTTGGTATCGGCTCTGAGGAAGGCAGGTGGGCGAGGGCTGTTGCTTCCCTGTGCATGTCTGCAGCTAGCCCTGGGGGTTTGGTGGCACAGTGGTGCCCCGGACCTGGTGCCCTGGCTTGGGCATGCACTCTGCAGCTGTAAGACTCCCGCCTCGGCATGACGACGAGCTGTGATTCGCATCCTGCCCCTGACCTCGTGGCGTAGCGCGGGCAGGTTTACAGAGCTGTGATAACCCCAGGTAGGAGCAGGGTGTGATGCATTTGGGTTCCCTCCTGTGGCAGACGGCAGCCTCCACAGGACAAGGATCTCCTGTGCCCCAGCACTCTTACTTATGCACACATACACGTCAAGTGCTCTCTGTCTTGCTGCCGTGGGCTCGCCTCGCTGGCTTGCCCTGGCCCGTGTTGCAGTGGGTTAGGGGTGCTTTCCTTCCCACGTGTTGTGTGTGGCACCCCACATTCCCGGTGTTCCTGCAGCACAGGGACGTGCTTTGCTTCTCTCTCACCAGTGCTAATCTCATCTCCTTCTCTGCCTTTCCTCTCCCCAGAGGTCGGAGTGGGGGAATGATTGTGGATCCTCTCCGGTCTGGCTGCCCGCAGCCCGGCATTGACCCGTCATCGGGCATTCCAGGCCGGCTTCCCCCGGGAGCAGTTCCACCAGGCGCCAGATTCGACCCCTTTGGCCCATTAGGAGCTGGTAGATCTGGGTAGGTATTCGGCTGTGCCTGGTATCCCCAGCCTGCCCTCTGGGCTGCCCCTGGATCTCCTGGCTCGTCCCTGTTGCTGCGGGACTGAACTCTCGCTCCCGGTTTGACTCTGCTCTGAATTTCTTTCCAGGCCAGATCCCGACCACCTTCCCCCTCCAGGCTACGACGACATGTTCATGTGAGGAGTCACCGCATGGCTTCTCACGGCTGCAGCCAGAGCAGTCTCCTCGGAAGCAGGAGCACTTTCCCCTCTTCGCTTCCCATTCGGTGGACTTCGATCTTTTCAGCAGCGTTTTTCTTCTCCCCGTTCGGGGCCGTGTTCCTGTGTGTCAGACCAGCTATAAAGATTTCCCTGTGTGCAGAATAGAAGAGGAGGCAGTAGGTTCGTTTCTTTCTGTGCTCCTCTGAGGGTGCCTGGCTGTTTGCACCCAGCTGAAGTGGTCCTGCCCGGCACGAGGTGGCGGCGTGGGGCGCGGCGCTCCGAGAACGGCCTGGGTGCTGTGGGGTTTCCTCCTCTGCTTCTCCGGGGTGGCACCGCTTTTGCTGCTGGGGTTACGCAAGCGGTCGGTGCTGAGGAGGGAGCTGGTTTCTTGCCGCTCCTGTGCTGGGGAGCTGCAGTAGCCTTACTGCAGGCGACAGCCGGAGTGGGCTCCCCATGTAGAGATGGTTTCTCTCTTGTTCTTTATCCGAGCGAGGGGCTGAGCAGCGTGAAAGGCTAAAAAGCTCAACCCACGGGGTCTCCATGGGCAGACCCCCAGCAGCAGCTGAGATCAGCTTCCACATGGCCGTGCCCACTGGCTTTAAAGAGCACCACCAGCAAAGCCTTTAATGTGCATGAGAAGAGACATATATTGAATTCCTGGCCCCACCTTGCGCCCTCTCTCCCCTGCAGCCGTGTTGTTTTTCATTCCCCGGGGTGCACGCAAAGCCCCGCAGGCAGCGTGGCGAGGGCTGCCCGCTGGGCACCACACAGGGCTGGAGCAGGAGGGAGGGTGCTCGGTACCCACACGACCTGCCGGGCCCAGCGTTGGCTCTCCAGGCACGGCAGAGCTGAGCCCAGCACCGAGCTGGGGCCCTTCTGGGGATGCACACAGGGGGCTCGCTCGGCTGTGGGATTTGCTTTGCAGAAGAGGTTTATAGAACACGTTTCCCTACCGTCAGTCCCGTTGCATGAGGCTGATGCGGCTCTGCCTGGCTGAACTCTGCCAAACAGCTCGGGGAGAATGGGTGAGATCTGTGTGGCTCAGGCTCCTGAGCTCTTTCTGGAATCCTCCTCCCTTCCCCACAGCTCCCCCCAGGTCAGTTAATTTTGGGGCTGCAGCTCGTCTGTCCTGTCAGGGGTTCATACTATGTTTTTCTTCTCATGGTTTGATTTCTTGGAAGGATGTTCATGAGATTGAAATAAAAACCTGACAACAGTGTTGTGTTGGTGCTTGCTGGGGGTGGCCCCCCCTGCTCCCCCGCCCCAGCCGCAACCCCTTTCTCCCCGCCATGAGAAGGAAAGCCCCAAAGCTCTGCCCAGGCTGTGCCTGCCCTCCCCGAAGCGGAGGATTCACGCTGGGACGCCGCTTGGTACCTTCCCCTGAGCAGTACCACTTTTCCGAGACGATGTGACTGTATTAAGAAAATTAAGTGGAGAACAGCCCAGACTTGGCTCTGGCTGCGCTCCTTGTGGTAATTGGCCCTCCGGGGTATTGAATGCCGTCGGTACGCTGCATGCAGCCGTCCTGGCATAAATAAAAAGGGGGAAGTGATCCCCCCATCTATCTCTTTTCCCCAAAGGCTTTTTCCTTTTAAAACCCCTTTGCCTACAAACGTAGCTAATAAAGCTGAGTTACGGTGTGTGCAACCCTGGGCTGCGTGCAGGTGGGAGCGGGGAGGACCAGCTGTAGAAATTCAGCACTGGGGGCAGCTGGAGTATCCCCTGCATCTCCCCAGGGCTCGTGCGTGGACCCCCGTGTTTGCAAGAGCTGGTTTCGAGCCCAGACCTGGCTGCGTGTCCCTGGGGCTTTTGGTGGACAGTCCCACCTGCAGATCCATGGATGGGCAGTGGGCGATGCCTGTGACCAGAGCAGACGGCGGCTATTCTCGCAGCATGGGTGGGATGGAGAGCGAGACCCAGGGCTTGGTGAGACCCCTGTTCCTGCTTGTCCCCTCTGTCCCCTCCGGCTCCTGGGGCAGCCTGAGCCCATCCACAGCTTTGCCCCAGGAGAAGGGAGCCCCTGACCTTGCTGCGTGGGGTTGAGAGACGCAGGGTGCTTGGGGAGAGAAAACAGCTTTGGCCTTATCAGAGGGGCCCCTCTCTGCGGGAGGCGGTTGCTTTCTGTGCCTGAATTAATCATGTTCTGCAACCTTTCAGGGAGGGAGAGACGCAGCCGGCTTTGATGGGGCTAATTAAAGCGAGCCAGCGCCGGGAGAGGCTGCGGCAGGTTCTGATAAACAATCTTTTGTCTGCAGCACTCAGCCCCAGCGGGTTCGCGGTGCTGTGCAGCTGGGGGAGCAGGTGGGAGAGGAAAGGGGTTTCAAAGAGGGCAAGTGCCCAGCATTGAGCCGTGCCCGCTGCAGGCCCGTCCCTGAGCCTCGGGGCTCCCAGGCCTGTGCCATCCGCTCTCCGGAGAGGATGGGTAAAAGGAGGCAAGGATCCTTCTCTCCAGGTCAGAGGACAGTGGGGACAGGAGACCATCCCTGCGGCTGGCTCAGCTCACACCGAAGGGCGGCTGCGGAGCTGCCCGGAGCGCGGCAGAGGTGGTTCCCAAGGATCAGCGATCCCAAGCCCGTTCCTCACTCCATCCGCAGGGCTGGCGGCCAGGCGCAAGCCCCTTTCCCTGAGCACGGTTTGGGGGGCCAGCCGTCCCTGCTGCAGGCTCGTACCGCACTGAGCACGGCGGCTGCAAGGGCTGGGTCTCCCGCCAGCAGGAGGGACGGTCCAGGTCCCCGGCCGCGTGTCCCCATCCCCGGCACGGCTGCTGCTAACGTAAGTGATGGAAAGCATTAACATGCAAGGGAGCACATCAAGCCACGCACCTCAATTTTATGGTGAAGAGCGGCTGGGGCTGGCCTGTGCGGTCTTGGCACAGGCACAGCCCTCCCCCCTCCCGCAGCACCGGCGAGGCGCTTCCACGTCACGTTTGAAGAAAGATGCTGGATTATTGGTAATGGCTTGAGATCCCCGGAGAGTCCTTCAGGCCATCTGCCAGCCCGCCCAGCCCAGCGGCACCTGCCCCGCGCGCTCCCAAAGGCAGAGCCCCTGGTACTGCTAATTACCCCGCAGACGATGCTCCGTCCCTGGGATCCCGTGTGTCCCACGCACAGCGCGAGGGAGGAACTGGTGCGTATTGCACACACGGGAAAACAAAGCAGGCCCCGTTATATGGGACTGGGAACGGTGTGCTGGGACGTTCCCTCTTTGCTCACCCCTGGCACAAGGGGAGACACCCTCAAAGCCCCAGAGCTGGGGGTCCAGAGACCTCTGTGCTGAGCAGGGGGACGAGGACGCGCTGCCTGCCATGTTCCTGCCCTTGCACCATACTCCGTGGCCCGGTGTGGTGGCATTGCCGGGGGGGCAGCCAGCCTCGCGCCCTGCCCGGCGCCTCTTGCTGTGGCCACGCTGCCCATCCCTGTGGCATCTGGGTGACCTGCCAGGGATGCGGACAACGAGCCGTTGTCCCCGGCTTTACAGGAAGGCAGCGGGGTCGGGGCTGGTGTCTGCTGCCCTCGGTGCCCCCTTCAGCAGGGCCCTTCCCCTCGCTGCTGGGCATGGTGCCACCCGCTCCTCCCCAGTGCCCATCCTGCACCTCCCGCCTCCTCCGGCAAAACCGGCTTCTCCCACGGAAACTGGAGAGGATCCAGAAGTGGCACGTAGGGGTGAAATGCTCTCCCATCAGGCTGGTTTCGCTGCACCTCCAGGGGATGGTGAAGCACCTTCGTCTGGGGTATCTCAAAGCTGCCTCCGACCCACCCACCAGCACCTAATTCCCATGGGTGGGCGAAGCCCCCGGACCCCCCTGCACTGAGGGGCTGGCGACCCTCATCCCACCCAGGCTGCACAGCATCAGCCCGTCTTTCCCAGCCAGATTTTTCTCACCACCCTGGAATATTTTTGATTGCTTCCTAAATACACCCCTGCACGTTAACCATCGCAGGTCAGCGCCTCAAGCTGGCTGCGCTGCTCTTCCCCAGCACCCGCCGGGAGCGATGAAGGGACTGCCAGGCCAATGCAGGGAGGAAGTGCGGGGCAGCCGGCTGCGGCGCGGGGCAGAGCGGCTCTGGGG